CAGGACCCCCAGCACCCCCAGCCCCTCACTTGGTCCAGGGCTTGCAGGCCTGGTTGTCGCCTGGGGAGAAGTGCCCTGGAGGGCAGGGGGCACAGTCTGCAACAAAGACAGGGTGGTCAGGGGCTGCCCACAGGCCCTGGGTGCTGGGGACATGGGGCAGAGCCTGTGGGTTGCCACTCGCCCCCCACGGCCGGGTGGTGGGTTTGGCCTCTGGAAGCCCTCCCTGCCCACATCCCACCCGTGGGCCCTGACCTGGGAGCCCTGTCTTGAGGATGCCAGAGGAGGCACCAGTGGGGCTGGTTCCCTGCGGCCCACGGCCCATCTGCGTCACAGACAGCCGCTAGGACACCCCCAACTGCCGGCCGCAGCCACCGAGCTCACCAACTCCAGGCTTGTAGCTGTCCAGGGGCTGGGTGCCCGCCCGGCAGCGGCAGACTGTGTCCTGTGTGGCCGTGCACGGCTGTTTCCGCTCACTCCCACTTCCTGAGCAGGGGCCGGGGGGGGGTTATCAGGTGGGGGCTGTGGACAGGGTCCCCAAGAAGGACAGGTTGGCCTCCCCACCACACAGAGGGCCATGGGCGGGGGTCTGCAGCCTCCCCCAAGGTGTGGAGCCCCTGCAGCCCCCGAGGCCCTCCCTTCCTGGCCACAACCTGGGGCTGGTTCTGTGGCAGCCCCAGCCACCCTTCCCTACCCCTCCACCACCTCCAGCCGCCAGCACTGCCTGAGGCAGGGTCCCCATGGCCCAGTCCCCCAGCCTCACTGCTCGGGCCAGCAGGGCCAGGCCACATGGCCAGAGTGGTCTCCCCGACTCCACGTGGCCTGGGCCAAGTCTGGGCCCGGAAGGAGTGGGGGTGCCCCGGGAGATGCCTCAGCTCCTCAAAGGACCCTGTGGCGGAGCAGACCCCACTGTGGTTTGAGGTTCGTTTCTGTGGCTGTGGGGGCCCCGTGCTGCTGCGTGGGAATGTGGCTGCCAGGCTGCCGCCCCCTGTGCCGGGTGGGGCTGTGGGGCCAGGTGGGAGCTCACTGAGGTTGCACCATGTGCAGGCCTTGCAGGGCTTGGCGCTGACCACGTCGTTGTAGAAGCCGGGCCCGCACGGACGGCACACCGTGTTCTGGGAGCGGTTGCAGCGGCTCACCATCCCATTGCCTGCAGCAGAGGCCGGCGTCAGGCAGTGGTCAGGCCCCGGGCTTGCGCCCGTGGACTCCCCACACGGCTCCTCTGCCAGGCTTGGCGGGCCCCTTGCCTGCCCCCTCCCCAGGACCAGCCTCCTGGCTGGCCCATCCCTGCCCCAGCCCCCAGTCCCTGGAGTGCCCCGTGCGTGGCAGACCCTCCTAAAGCTGGGCCTCACCTGGCCTGCACTCCTGACAGCACCGGTCGTTGCTGGGGTAGGTGTCCCCGACACAGTGGAGCTTCGCCGTGGTGCTCAGCCCCAGGCCCAGGAGGAGCAGAGCCGCACACGGCCCCCGGCCCAGCCGCCGAGCCCCCACACACATCCTCGTCTCCGCTGTCGCCAGAGTCTGGGTTTTCCTTGCGGGGTGTGGCTATAAGGACTGTGGAGGAGGGGAGGGGAGGGGAGGGGAGAGGGGAGGAGGGCAGAGGAGGCGGGAGGAGGAAGGTGGCAGGCTGGGGACCCTGGCTGTGGGCTGGGCACAAAGGCGGGGTCTGGACACCCCCAGCATTGGCTTATTCTGCCTTCTGTCCTCTTCGGCCCAAGACCACCATGTTCAGACCCCAGGGCACAGTAGGGCCTGGCCTGCGACTCAACCCTCAGCAAAAAGGTTCATGGAGCACGTGGGTAAACTGAGGCAGCACTGAGTCAGGAGCGGCAACTGTTCAGTCTGGACCTTCGGAGCTGTGACACTGCTGGACCATGGTCCCCCTTGAGTGCCCAAGACTAGCTCTGAGCAGCAGTGACCACAGCCATGGTAAGACAGACACCCACGACCAGGCGCTGTGGCTCATGCCTGTAATCCCAGCACTTTGGGAGGCCAAGGCAGGTGGATCACCTGACGTCAGGAATTCGAGACCAGTCTGGCCAACATGGCGAAATCCTGTCTCTACTGACTACCAAAATTATTTGGGCGTGGTGGTGGGTGCTTGTAATTCCAGCTACTCGGGAGGCTGAGGCAGCAGAATCGCATGAACCTGGGAGACAGAGGTTGCAAAGCTGAGATCGTGCCACTGCACTCCAGCCTGGGTGATAGAGCGAGGCTCCGTGACCAGGGCCCACGCTCAGTGTGCCTGAGCAGGGCAGGTGTCTACGGCTGAACTGTGCCCCTTAAATTCCTGCGTGGAAGCCCTAACCCCCATGTGGCGGTGTTTGGAGACAGGCCTCCGAGGAGGTCATGAGGGTGGGTCCTGGATGACCTGGCACACGTGGACACGCAGGCAGGTTTCTCCCTCGATGCAGACAGCTCTCAGGTTCCACGGGTTGCCCAGAGAACAGGAACTGCCTGGAGAGCCAGGGAGCAGGTGCGGGGCCAGAGGCTCCCTGGGCCCCTTCTGTACCTTTCAAGTAACTGTGACCAGCCTGTGATTATCCAAAAGTTCGTTTTTAAAGTTGCCAAGTGGAGAGGGGCCTCTAGGGGAACAGAGCAGCGGGGAAGGGGCTGGAAATCCCCTCCTCCCAGAAGCACAGGAAACAGCTGCCTGCCCTCTGCCCACCCGCGGGGAAATTCCCAGCCATGGAGGCCGCTGGGCCTGGGGGGGGGAAGGAGTGGAGGGAGAGGCCACTCACCCTTGTACTGAGGGTCCCTAACTTGGTCACCCTCCCCATAACCCCACAAGTAGAGAGGATCCTGGAAGGGCTCAGAGCATCCCAGACAGTGCGTGTGCGTGCACGTGTACACCCCAACCCAGGTGGGCAGAAGAGGAAAGTTCTGGAATTTTCTGGAAGTTTCCACCCAGCGTTCACATGGGTTTCCCACCGACAGTGAGAAAAAGCTTATATTTGCAATTGGTTTCTTGGAGGTTCAGGTGAGCTGGGGGTCTTGATGGGCAACACTGCTCTCCTGGGGCCTAAGTGGCCGCATCTGCCCACAAGTGCAGTGAGTGGGGCCCATGCACCATGGAGAGGGCACCCCCAGCACGTTGCTGGCACCTGCAGTGGCCCCAGGGTAGGGCATGGCCCCTCCTGCTTGAAGCTGCCCAGGAAGCTCAGGTCTCCTTGTCCTGGGCTGAAGCTCACAGGTCCGAGAAAGCCCTGCTGTGTCCATGGAACTGGATGTGGAGTGGCCACAGGAGACTGGACACCGACCCAGAGCTGAGGACACCCGAGGTCTGCAAGGCAGCCTGCAGCTCGAACCGCATCCCCAGGGGCTGGGCTCTTCACTCTGCACAGTGGTGTCGCAGGCGGCCCAGGGCAGCCCGTGGGTGGCCACTGCTCCTCCAGTACCAGACTGGAGGTGGCCGGGGCCTCGGAAGGGTCAGGTGCCGCCACACACCCAGCTGTCCCCCCGCCCTCATGTCCAGTCCAGCATGGCCTCAGCTCACACCTCCCACTTCTGGGTGAACGGCCCTCAGTTGCTGAGGCTGTGATGGTCCCTGGCTCTGGCCTGGGGCCATGGATGGGGAAGGGCAAAGTCCAGGCCACCGAAGGTTGGCTCCAGGGAATTACAGGCCCTTCCAGCAGGGCACGGGACCTTCCTCCCAACACCTGCCCGGCCACGGCTCTGTGAATCCTGTTTGCCTGGGAACCAGCCCAGGTGCCAACCTGCCCTCTCGGCCCCGTAGGGGCCCCTGGGCAGGTGGGCTCCGGGCAGAGGCCAGTCACATGGGCACTGCAGGGCAGACTGAGGAGGGGGCACTCCTGGCTTCCTTGAGCTCCCGCCGGGAAAGCCAGGAAAGAGCCTGGGCCCCCACACGCCACAGGGTGGGACCCCCACCAGCCGTCCTCACACCCCACCCTTCTCTGCCCCTCCCGGGGCTGGGCCAGCCCCTCTGCACCCGAAGGCCTTGCCATCCTCCACCCAAAACTCCCCTAGGTGGCTCTGGCTCCTGCCTTAAATGTCCAAACCCCAAACTCAAGGAACACTTCTGCTGCCCCCAGGTCCCCTGCTCACACACACAGCGCTGCCCCTCGTCCTCCCAGAGCCCGTGCGGTCCCTGCCGGCCAGGAGAATCACCTCCGACGGGCCACGACCTCCGCCTGACCCAGCATCTGCCTCCAGCCTCCAGTGGAAACTCTGACCACAGACGTGCCACGCTGCTGTTGTGTTTTGTTTCACACCCAAAGAATGAAGCTGACCAAAAAGGCAACTATGTTTACAGTAAATTAATGTGATTCTTGTCACAACAAATATTCGCGTTTTCTCGGCGGCAGCTGTGGGACCTGGGTGGCTCCAACCTGCCAGGCCCAGGAAGGACCAGGCGCCCTCCCCTGAACTTCGTGGCTACTCATTTCCAGCGAAGTTTAATCTATTTTTAATAATCGTTCAGTTTTCAAGGAAACGGAGAAGCTGTTATTTCCCACGGAGCGGTGGCCCTGGGAGGGGCCGGGCCCAGAGGTTCCGGCCGCGATGCGGTCAGCGCCTTCGGCACAGTGACTGAAGCGAGATTTCGTTCTCAGAAGTGAGATGCAGCGATTTCGAGGGACCAGGGAGGAGGAGGCG